AATTCTGAGAAAAAAAAGTCAGAATTCTGAGAAAAAAGTCAGAATTCTGACTTTTTTCCCATATTAAACTGAAATAAAATTTAAAAATCAGTTAACTTTTTTTTGTTTTCCAGTGGCCCTAATCCTTTTCCGTAAAAATGCATGTTGCGCACACACATAAAGCATGTTGTAAATGCATAAAGCATGTTTCACACAAACAAATATTATCACTCACAAATAAACATGTTGCACTCAAATAAATCTTATTGTTCACAAATAAAACTTGTGTTACAAACTCTCCTCTAATGTCACACACAAATAAAACTATTTTTTTTCGAACTGTCCTTAAATGTTGCTCACACACAAAAATTTGTTTTACAAACCGGACTCTAACATTGCAGTGAACATAAAATCTATAAATTGTTCCCGAGTACAAAAAGATCTCTGCCTGCATACAAAACAGCCTCTCTTTGCGTACGAGACTATTCTTCACACTTCGCGGTAAGTTTCTGCCAAAAGTCACGTGATACATGGAGAATTGTCATTCTGACCAACCGACAGCAGGAGCGCCATACAATCGGGATATCGTATCTGATAGGGAAACGCAGCTCGACGTAACACCGGCACGTTTCAGTTGTTTTCGTTTGATTGCATGGAATTTGATCTTACCTAACCTTAGTTTCTCATAAACCATCTGTAAAAATTACAAAACCCTAAGAATCTCTGCAACTGTTTTCTATCTTTGGGAACAGGCCAGTTGGTAACTGCGCTCACCTTCATCAGGTCCATAGCAATCTGGTCAGGAGAAACCACAATACCCAAGAAAGACATTGTTTCAAAATGAAATTCAAATTTCTCAGCTCTAACAAAGAGCTGATTCTGCAGGATGTGCAAAAAAATAGATCTGACATGCTTCTTGTGGGACTCCTGATCCCGAGAGTAAATAATAATGTTATCCAAATAAACAAAAACAAAATATCCCACCATGTCCCTGAGTACCTCCAGATAGCTGGAGCATTAGTCAGGGGTTGACGTTAAGGATTTTTACCACTTGCCCTTTGGGCTAGTGACTTTCACATTTCATTTGCCCAGAAACAATTTTTACTTGCCCAGTATAATGTTTGATAAATATAGTTCCTAATATTAATTTTTGTATATATATCAAGGAAACATGTTTGTTTATTAAATGTTTTTTGTAATTCAGTATTTTTTAAGTTTACAGGTTCCTGGTGTGTATATGCACGCGTCAGATAAACTCCAGAGTGTTGCTCAGCATGGGGGTGAGTAGAAAATGAAGGCTAATCATGTTTTGGGTGTACTATTCCTTTAAGAAACAAAGCAAAGTTAACTAAGGAAACTAACCTAACTTAACGACACATGAGGGTAACATACAATGAGGAAAATAAGTATTTGAACACCCTGCTATTTTGCAAGTTCTCCCATTTAGAGATCATGGAGGGGTCTGAAATTGTCATCGTAGGTGTGTGTTAACTGTGAGAGACATAATCTATAAGAAAAATCCAGAAATCACAATATATGATTTTTTAACTACTTATTTGTATGATGCAGCTGCAAATAAGTATTTGAACACCTGTGAAAATCAATCTTAATATTTGGTACAGTAGCCTTTGTTTGCAATTACCGAGGTCAAACCTTTCCTGCAGTTTTTCACCAGGTTTGCACACACTGCAGGTGGGATTTTGGCCCACTCCTCCATATAGATCTTCTCTAGATCAGTCAGGTTTCTGGGCTGTTGCTGAGAAACACAGAGTTTGAGCTCCCTCCAAAGATTCTCTATTGGATTTAGGTCTGGAGACTGGCTAGGCCATTGCAGAACCTTGATATGCTTTTTACAGAGCCAATGCTTCCATTGCTTGTATGTGTCCACACCATAACAGTTGTGCAAGATAAACCAAATTACAAAATAAATAATTAAATATTAAAATAAAAAAATAGAAATATTACTACTGTGGGGCTCCAGCCCCCACAGGGATATACTCTGGTATCTGCACTTCAAGAGGGGGCACCCTTAATTGATTATGGGTCCATGTCAGGAGAAAGAGAAAAAACAGCTCTATAGTTTGGGGTGGATAACTGAAAATGCAACCAGAGATGCTGGAATTAGTCATTGTGAGTCAATTTTTTCCCAATTCCTGACTATTTAGTGGTATATACTGACATTTAAAAATTGAGAATGACAGGGTTGGTTTTGTTATTTAATATCTCAGCATTAAAGTTAGTAAGCGGACAACTTACAACTGCTGGCACTGCCCATTGTCTATAAGTTATAACAATATACTGAGTAGAAAAAAGTGCGACAGTTAACATTTTACATTCTTGTGATTCTAGTAGTGCATTATTCAGTTTAAATGTGTTATAAGAGCTTGCACAGGGAGTGAACAGAATCAGAACAGAATACTAGAAAAACAAGCGATGTTCCTATGGGTACTGGTCCATATCAGAGTAGATGGCAATAAGTTTGCCGACAGATTTGTGAAGTAGGATGCAAGGAAAGAAATAATAGATTTCCTTCTTAAGTATGAAAAGCATGATCAAGATGATATTAAGATAGAATTAAAATGGAATAATGGGATGATGGGTCGTTTCTATTATTTGATCTATGGAAATACAGCTAAGGCAGCTGTGATGAGGTGAGACTAGAGAGGAGGATGTAATTTAACGTGTGAAACTGGAACACACAAGGCTTAACATTACACTGAAAATGATTGGAAAATACTTTTTCTTGGGGAGGATGAACCTGTAGAACACATGATTATACACTGCATAGGGTATGTGCTAGAGAAGGACATATTTAGAACACATTTAAAAAGAAAACTAAATCCAATTTATCTTCAGGTTGATAATGCACAGAGGCTCTCTGTCGGTTACATGTTAAGCAGCTTTGAGGTTCTGGAAATTACTGGACTGTTTCTGTTTCAGAGAATGTAGTTGGGGAGATTTTACTGTGTTTTCTGCCATACCAGAAGGTGCCAATAATGCACTGACAAGTTATGTGCCAACTGCCAATGAACTACACAAGAAGGTTGCAGGACAGTGATTTGGATGTGTATGGCGCGTGTTTCTAAGTCGATGGTGGAGAAATGTCTTGGGTCCTGAGTAGTGAGGAAACAAGAAGCGATTTTTGTGGGATGGAAAAAGGAAATAGTGAAAACGAAATAGATTGGAAGACAGTAGAGTCAAAAAATGAGAAAAAGCGGAAAAGGCAGAGATCAATTAAAGGGAAGTCCATGGAGGAGTGCCTCTAAAAGTAACTGACGAAGAGATTCTAGAAAATATAAGTGGTGTAAAACTAAAAGAAGAAAACGGTTAAAAACAACAAGAAATGGAGAAAGAAAGATGTGACAGCTTATCAGAATTGATCAAATTTGAAGAAGCAGTTACCAAGTAAAGTTTTGCCTTGGATATATAAGCTACAATGTAAAAATGTACAATACATATACATATATATATATACATACACACACACATATACATATATATATATAC